TACCTATTCATATACCCATCCAGATGCTTTTTAAAATACTGTAATTGTACCAGCCTCCACCACTTCCTCTGGCAGCTCATTCCATACACGCACCACCCTCTGTGTAAAAAAAAAAATACCAGTTAGGTCTCTTTTAAATCTTTCCTCTCTCACCTTAAATGTATGCCCGCTGGTTTAGACCCCCCTACCTGGGGAAAAGACCTTAACTATTCACCCTATCCATGTCCCTCATGAATTTATAATCCTCTATAAGGTCACCTCTCAGCCTACTATAAATTCAAGGACAAAACTCTGCATTCCTTGCTGTGCACTCCTGCCATAACTCTGGTGGAATTCCACATAGCCTTTCTGATTGGCATCTCATGCAATACTGTCGGGTAGTTGCAGCAGAGTCTACTGCATGCAAGATGCAGCAACACCCCAAAGCTCCTTCGACAACAGTTTCAACCCCACCAGCCCCCACAACTCTAACACTTAGAAAGAGAATGTTAAAAAACACACATAAGAACACCACCACCGGTAAGTTTTCCTCCAAGCCACATAATATCCTGAGTTACTATCCTGAATGATAATCAGCATTTCTGTAATTTCTGCTATGCCAAAATTCTGGAACTTACTTTCTTATTGCACCAGATGGACTGCGGTGGTTCAAGGTGGTGGTGAGTTTGGGCAATTAGAGATAAGCAACAAACCTTAACCTTGCCAGCGACATTAACATCACTTGAAAGAATTTTAAGAAATTTGTGCTGTAATTATCTGATCATGAATATGGGTGAAGCAAAAAGAAATCCAAAGACTACAGGAAAGTGTCCAGAGTACAAGGATGTCTTGTGATATTCAGGGAAATTTATGCTTAGATATCATCTGTTTTTAGATGGCTGAGGCAAACCAAAATTTTAAAAAGACTGTTTTAGGCTGCTGCATTGCTTAAAGATTCATTTTAGAACCTAGATATTCTGTTGCAAAACAGTAACATTTGCATGTAATCTGATCATTACTCCTTGATGATTACAAGTACTCTAAATGAGTTTATTTTGTTGTCCCTAAGTACGACGCAACATTAAATCTGAATCATGAGAAGAACACAATATTGGGAGGAAACCTGATCATAGGAAATGTACATTTAAGGAAGTGATAAATAAGGAGATATTAGTGAAAGAAAAAAAATAGATTTAATAGCTTATTAGAGATAACAAAGTGTAGAGCTGGATGAACACAGCAGGCCAAGCAGCATCAGAGGAGCAGGAAGGCTGACGTTTCGGGCC